TATGCTTCTGTTTCTAAAGATTCATATCTTTTATCAATTATTTGTTACCCTTGAAATATTGCCTCTCTTTCATTGTCTCCTTCCAGAATTCCAATTAGACACATTAGACCTTCTTATCCCATTCCACATATTTCCTAAGATTCATATTTTTCATATCCTTATCCTGGGTAATTCTTCAGGTCTTCCTTTCAAGTGACTGATACTCTTTTTACTTTTAATAAATACATTTTTATTTCTATAAGCTCTATATGGTTCTCTTTTTAAAAAATCTTTATGAGTCTATCATTTTTCCTTTAAACATTTCAAACACAGTTATGTTACAATCTGAAAAATCACATTCCTATAACAAGGATCAATAACTGATAACTGTTAGGGATCTAAATCTGTTTTCATTTTGTTAACACACCAACAGTTTGTTTCCTTACTTATTGAGTTATCTTTTTTTTTTTTTTTTTTTTGTAGTTGGACACAATATCTTTATTTTTATGTGGTGCTGAGGATTGAACCCAGGGCCTTGCATGTGCCAGGCGAGCGAGTGCTCTACCACTGAGCCACAACTCCAGCCCCAAGTTATCTTTGTGAGTTCCTACTGTGTGGAATTTCTGGAGGCCTAATTCAGACTGCATTCCTCTAAAGGTAATTTACATTTGCTTGTACCAATTGCCAGCAAGCATTACTTGTAGAAAATAACTTTTGTCTTTGTCAAGATCCCCAGTTTAATGTGAAAACCTTCAATTCCATTCTCCAATCTTGAAGCTTGCCAAGGTCTTAGTTTGGATACCTAAAGTGTATATCAAAGTGTATTTAAATATCAGCAGTTTGCTCCAAGGTCAGCCTACTTTTCCAGTATGCTAATTGCTCATTACTCTATTTTAAGCAAATAGCTTTACTTTTTCAGTTTGGCCTGGAAAGTAGGGTCATGACGGAGTGTCTTAAGAGATTTCCCTGACGTTTATGGATCTAAGAGTATAACAAAAAAGTAGCAAAAATATCCAATATCTCCAAAACACCAACAGTACAAATCATATAGTGACTTTAAAAAAAATCTTTTTCTCAATATTTTATTAAGAAAATTTTCAAACACCTAGAAAAGATTAAAGTTATAAAAATGCACACATATATACCCCCTAAATTCAAAAGCTATTAGCATTTTGCCAAATTTGCTTTATTTTTGCTGTATATATGTGTTTTTGAAGTATCTGAAAGTAAGTTTGCAGATACCATGACTCTTCATTGCCTATATAATTCAGGACTCATCTATGAGTAAGGTTATCCTCCTATATAGCTAACACCATTATTACACCTGAGAAAAAAAATTTTTAATTCTATAACATCGATTAATAGTCAATCATATTCTAAATTACCTATAAAATTATTTATTTATTTTCTTTGAAACCAGATTCCATAAGTGTTCATGTATTACATTCAAGTATTGTCTTCTTAAAAATCTAAAACAAACGCCACCCCCAACTTTTAAAAAGAAAATGTCTTTTTGAAGAATCTACGCCAGTTGTCTCACAAAATGTACTACATTCTAGTTTTATTTGTTCCTTCGTGGAGTCATTTAACTTGTTCTATTTCCTATATGTACTATAATATAGGAGTCAGGTATACAGGATTAAGTGATTACTTCCATAACCTCCATTGTAAAGGTACAATTACCCTTTACAAATGTAAAGAATATGTGGGATGATCCATGACTACAAGTGAACATCCTATTCTCAAGCAAACTTGTACCTAATGGCTTTAGCATCAAAATAATGATCCTTGCTTAACTCTGTAAGCATTTTAAACTGAGATTTAAAAAAAAAAAAATCCCTTCAGTTCTTCTATTTACACTAGCTTAAATTTTTTGATAAAGAGTTTTAACTTCACATCCCCCGCCCCTTATATGTAACACATACACATTTTGGGGTATCATTATGGACTACTGCATTTTTATGCTTTGACCATATGGAAGCTCCCCAGTGACTTTTGAACTTAATCAAATATGCTCATTTTCATTCACATTAAAAAACAAAACCAAAAACAAAAACAATGGATAGGTGCATGCCTGTAGTCCCAGCTCAAGAGGCAAAGGCAGGAAGATCCCTTGAGCCCAGGAGTTCAAGACTAGCCTGGGCAACATAGTGGGATCCCATCTCAAAAATAAAACAAACAAACAAAGCCAATAAAACATCAACAACAACAAAAACATTAAAAGCACAATCAGAATTTTTCAAAGCATACTACCATGGAGCAAAATATTGATAATATAATTAAGGTTAAGTATGTAGAAGAAACAGGAATTCTTTATTGTGAATGCAAATATAAATTAGTATGGTCTCTTTGGGGGACAAATTAACTTCAAATCCTATAGATAAACCCGCATATGTGCATAAAGTAACCAGCATACATATTCTATACCATTTTAAATAGCACAAAATTATAAAATATATGTCCATCTTCAGGACATAGGTTAAATTATGGGACTTCCATGGAATGAAATAAGATATAGGAAGTTTAACAGTTTTTGATACATAACATTTTAAAGATACATTATTATAATAGCTTGACTTCATCTCCTAAGAATCTTTTCCTTTCATACTCCACTTCAGCCACAGTGACTTTCTTACTCTTCCTCAAAAACCCAAGCATATTCCTGGCTTCCGGTTGTTTTACTTTTTCTACTGACTGCCTTGAATGAGCTTCTTATAGGTTCATTGCTAAGTTCATTCTTATACTTTTTTCAGGTCTCTGTTCTTATATGATAAAACAGGCCTTCCCTGTCCTCCCTACCTAAAGCAATCCTATTTTCCCATCCCCATTATTCCCTAGTCCTTTGTTGTATTTAAATTGTTTTGGTTTTCCTTTTTTAATATTTTAAAATTTTCTCTTTAGTCCTTTGTACTGAGTTTTCTTCATGACTTACTACTACCTGATATGTTTATTGATTTATCTGCTTATTACACATCTCCCCAACACTAGAATTTTCAGCTCCAATGAACTTTTGCTTTCTCACAACTTAAACCTAAGTGCTTAGAACAGTGCTTCCATATTGAATATTTAAAAATTGTTTTCATTCAAATGTGTAAAAAACCATGGTTCACAATAGTGTAGACACTATGCTTTATGCCTGTATATGCATAAAATAACTTTAGAAGGATGCTCAAGAAATTAGTAACAGCGGTTGTCTATACTGAGGTGAACTGGAATGGCAGAGCAGTGATGAAGCAAAGACTTACTGTATTGTTCACTTTTTATCATAGATTGAATTTTTAACCATGTACGTTAAGAACATAAAAATTTAATTTAAAAATTTTAGGAGAATATATCTCCAAATAATGTTCTAACTTAATGTTGTCCTTTGAAGGATTTTCCAACTTTATGCAGGTACCTTTCTTAACAAAAATTTTAATAATTTAACTTTTTGTTTTTAGAGGCTTATTCACAAAACAAAATTCATGGCAAGGTTGTCTAACTTTTAAGTATCAGAAAGTAATCACAGCCAGCTGATTTCAAGATGAGTATTTTATTACATACTATTTAATAGAAAGATAAATGCCAACTTATTAAAAATGATTATTTGTCACTGGACAGCTAATGGGACTTTATGCTTCCTTAAACTTTATAAACTAAGAATAAATTCTATAATCAGAAAGAAAAGTACTTTAAAATTATTTCAAGATTTAAATAAACATTTAAATGTAAAAATAATTCTTTCTTAATACACAGATATTTTCTATATATGTGACATTGGAAGAAATACATTTCAAACGTAACCAATATTTTCCTTAAGATTCCAATAAGTAACCATATACCAAAATTCTAAAGCATTAAATTAATTTTAATCCATAAATATCCTTTTTCTTTATATTGTTTCTTATTCTTCCTGCATATACAATTAATACAACTATATGTTTATTTTATAAGACAGTTCTGAAAATGCAATCCCTTTAAAGGATTTTAAATCAACAATAATTTTTAATTCTTAAAAAAATTTAATTTACTAATTCTTTTTATTTCTGCATCTTCTTTTAAGCTTTAATCTCAATAATTTAGAACTCACTGTTTTATGTAAGACTTATCCTTATAATGATGGTTTTAAAACTAATAATATTTATTACTGATTACCATTCAATACAGATACTTCCATGGAAAATTCTCCTTCTCTGGAATTCCAAGATTATAAATCCTGAAATAACTTCAAGTAATTTTGTTTCAGTCATGAAACAAGTGTTATCATTCCCACTCACAGATGAAGTACTGAAAGCCTATAAAGGTTTGATAAATTATCTAAAGTTATCTAGCTATTTAGTGATGAAAGAGAAAAAAGGTTAGGACAAAAGTCTTTTCACAGAAATACTCTATTATATTCACACCAAGTTATAAACATCTGAGAGGAAAAGAATTAAGAAGGTAGCTAGCTCTACAGCATGCCGAGTGACCTATGCCTAGAAATTTTTCATATTAGTGCTCCTTCACTGGCATTTCACAGATTATAGAAATTTCTTCCTTATTTGTTAAAAGTAGCAGGGACACTAGCAGTAGATTCCATCTTGGCCTCAGCTCTCTGCCAGTAGAGAGCATGAATTCCTTGTCGGATGTCTATGAAGCCAATCTATATAATTATAGCACTGAAAATTAGCTACCCTAAATTTCCATGTTTGTGAGTACATTCATTTAACAGTAGTATATTAGTTAATACTCAAGTTCTGTAAACTGAATCAGAGTTCTACTATTTCAATGCTGTAAAATGACATTTTAAAATCAGGGATATCTACAGTAAAATGAACTACATAAAAACAATAATGAAAGATTAAATCTTTATAGCATAAGAGGGTAAAACAGCGTGCTACTGGACTCTAAATACTATTAGGAAAAAAAAAGATTTTGCTATACAAGTTTTTCATTTCATAACAAAATCAACTGATAAAAAAACTGTACGTTTATATACATTGTTTTTAAGGACTATAAATTAATTGTTCCATACAATTCTCATGACTTTGAAGAGTACATACCAACAGTTTTTTGCCGTACTATACTCCTCGCCTTTTCAGTTCCTGGGGAGCCAGTGGTTGTTGCACTTCTCTGTCTCATTGGGGCTTGACCAGGCTGATCACGACTCCATCCTCTAGAAAATGACTTGTCAACTGAAACTTTCTGAAATTCATGTCCAACTCCTAGAAATGTAGATTTTCAATCTCAAAATACTGTCACCTGATCAGTAATACCTTTAAATTTATGTGTGCTATGTTGCCTCATATTCTTAGGCTTACTTATAATAAAGTACAAAATAACAATATAAAATGCTATGTACTATAAGACCTTTTTGAGCTTCATTTTACATAAAATTATATTATAAAACTTATGCAGAATTATAAAATTATATCAATAATAAACTATTATAATCTCTGAAACAGACTTGTTTGTAATAGAAATAAAACATATGGATAAGAAAAAAGATAGTAAATGAGCTAACCCAAAACCTTGCTATAGTGAAGGTTATTTAATTTCGACCTGCCAATAACAGCTATGTGCGAAACATATAGTTGAGAAAAAAGGAGTTTGAGCTTCTTCATACCCTGGAAAAGGGGTTAGTATGAAATGTGATTTAAGTGTTCTCTAGTTAGTATTTTGCATTTTTAATAATTAGTTGCTAATAAACCAAGGAATATCAAAACATAATAATTATATAATCATTATGCTATGCCCCAATCTCTTTAAACATCTGACATATTTCACACCTAGGGAACATTTGCTTTTAGTTCAAACAAAGAAAATACTTTCAAAGAATTTTCCAGGGCAGGGAATGCAGATCAGTGGTAGCTCAGTGATACAACATTTGCCTAGCATATGTGAGGCCCTGGGTTCAATCCCCAGTACCACAGACACCAATACGAATTTCCACAATTCTTTACTACATACTTTTTAAAAAATATATTTATTATTTAATTGTAGTTGGACACAATATCTTTATTTTGTTTATTTTTATTTTTATGTGGTGCTGAGGATTGAACCCAGGGCCTATAATGTGCTAGACAAGCACTCTACTGTTGAGCCACAACCCCAGCTGAAACTATATACTTTTAAAGTAGAGTAAAGTAAAATCACTCCTTTAGTTCTAACTAAAATTTGCTTATTTTAAAAAAGGAATGGCATGGGCCAGGTTGTGGCTCATTGGTAGAGAGCTTGCCTAGCATGGTTGAGGCACTGGGTTCAAATCCTGGCATCACATAAAATAAACAAATAAACTAAAGGCACTGTATGTCCCTCTACAACTAAAAAAATATTAAAAAAAAAAAAAAAAAGGAATGGCATAGGCAGGAACAATGGCACAGGCCTATACTCTCAGCTTCTCAAGAGGCTGAGGCAGAAGGATCACAAATTCAAGGCCTCAGCAACTTAGTGAGACCTCTTATCAAAATAAAATAAAAGAGAATAGGAATGTTGCTGAGTGGTAAAGTGACTCAGGGTTCAATTCCCAATACAGAAAAAAAAAAAAAAAAAAAGGGCATTTTATAAATTTCCATTTTGGTTAAATATCAAAAACAAAATAAAATATGTAAGATTAACGTTAGCTAACTATGTATAGAACATTGTCAAACTTTCTATTAATTTTAAGATTAAGAAAAATTACAGGGTATTTACATGCTTTATTGTTGGAAAATTTAATCTCCTAGGTATATGAAGGCAGGAATAGTTAAGAAAGAACATGACTTTTACTGCCCTCCTTCTCCCTGGCTTGGTTTCCCCCAACTCAATTATTTTAAACAAACTTATATGGAGCACCTCTGAACAACTCTTACCTTTCCCTTTGTGCTTTTTTTGCTTCTGTTCACTCAGCTTATCCAATGGTAAATCACTGAGATCCAAACTATATAAATTCCTAGCTAAAACTTTAGTTAGTGTCTCCATAGTTAGGGACCACTCAGTGGCCAATTCTTCCCAATACGTCAACGATGACAACACTGATAGTAAGTCATCCCAAAGTTCACGTGAGATGTAGACATTTAGATTTGCTTTAATCCAGGCAACTATAAGAGTCTACAAAGACAAATATTCAGAAATAACAATGAAATGTATATAGTGTGTGACTTCAAAATCAGATATTCAATTCTTTTAAAAATCACCTAAAAATAAGAATTTTAAAACACAAAAAATCCATGACCCTTTCTTCATAGTAGTGCTTGTGAAAGTAATTCATGCAATCATTAGTATTATAAACTTCATTTCAACAAATGCCAAATCCCAACATACCAGTAATTCAAACTGAAAAAAAAAACCTCACTAAAGTCATAACTACCTTTCATGCTGCATTACACTAATAGCTAATTCTATAAATTTTAGTAAGAAATTCATATATAAATTTACACAGCAAATATAAAGTTGGAAAATGCACAAAGCTTAGAACAGGAGTAAATATCAAAATGTGCAAACAACAGAAGAAATTATGCCCTTCAATAAGCTAAAATTTTATCTTGTAGCTTCCACTTTTGGATTAATTACAACAGGAAAATTAAAAAGAAAAAGGGAGTTCAGTTAATAAATATTTCTGTTTTTAAAGGGTTATTTGCCACCAACAGAGAATTTTAGGTAAAAGATTAATATATGAAATAATTTTTTAACAATTATACTTATGACCAAAAAATTAGATCTGAGACAGTTTTTGACATTAAAAACGATTTTATCCTTATTTACTTTTAAATCTGTCATCCTAAAAACATATGTTTTTCTATTTTTCAAAGACTCTATTTTTGAAAACCACAGTGTGTAACTTCTGTGTAATCAAACTAACACTGAAATTTCAAATTAAGAAGAAGGACTATAAAAGTCTCTGGAACAGTGTAGGAATGGATCTTGACTACTAGTTTTTCATTACCATGAAACAACTTAAAATTTTAAAGTCTAACAAAACAAACAATTAGACTATTACTCTTAAAGTCCTCTGACAGCTTTTTGCAACAATACATAAACATGCCATGTGAGATAAAATTAACATCATAACCCTTTGTGATAACACTTTTTTCACAGACATAATATCTCTTCCACTCATACTAGGTTTAAGTTTGTAAGTATGGCAAATAAACTACTTAGATGAGCATCTTTTAATTTAGCTCTACAAAAGACCTTTAATATGAACTGATTTCTGATTTAAATCTTTTTTCCCAGGTAACAAAGCTCAGGGTTCAATAAATCCTTTAAAAAATACGTATCTATCCATCTATTCATCTATTTATTTTATTTTTATTGCCTGGAAAAGTGGTCCTGCAAGTCGACCTGCCAAGGTCATATTTTTTTTCCCCTGGAACTGTAGAAAAGCTTGTGATGACATCTTCAGTACAGACTCCGTGACTCTGAGCAACACAAGCAGCATCTGTTCCCTTAAAGTAAAAAGATTAATTAATGTTTCCTTCTTGCATATGCTTGCTTTTGATTAGTGGTTAACTTTCAAATTAATATTTCTTATAGCATTATCTTTGGAATAACTCAAATATTAAATATAAAAGAACTTCAAATTTTTAGAATTTGTTAAATATTGAAATTAAAATTCCATTCATGGGCTGGGGTTGTGGCTCAGTGGTGGCGTGCTTGCCTAGCATGCATGGGGCACTGGGTTCGATTCTCAGCACCACATACAAATAAATAAATAAAGGTTCATCAACAACTAAAAATATATTTTCTTAAATTCCATTTTTATATTTATATCAGTCATTTTAAAGTCATTTTCAGGCACAATAGCCTCAGATAAAATAAGATAGATTTTTGATTTTAATAATGAGCAATTAGGAGAAAAAGAAAAAGTAGGAATAATGGCTCTTCCAATCCTTTTTATTTTGGCTATTTTTAAATCTCTTGTTCTTTTTGTGTATTATTAGTCAAGCCAACTCTACCATTATTCTTATCTTCCCTCTTTCTTCTAGCTGGTTACTATTAAAACAATAAAACTACATCTGATATTTTGAAAACTGATTCAGCCTCAATGAAAAAGAGACTGACAAGGGAATTCTAGTTGGGTACACAACCAGGCTAAAGCCCAAGTGCCTATCACAGCCTTCTCCTTTTTAGCTATTCTGCAGGCCCATTCCAGGCATAGCATTATACATGACAGTCACTGTGGGAAATATGGCTGAGACAGCAATAGGTCCCAGATCTAGATGTCATGGTTTTTCTGGGAAGTAAGGGCAGAATCAAATAGAAAACTATCACTTAATTAAAAATATCCTAAATTTATTAGTGAACACACATGCAATCATTCAAAAAATAAAAACCTTAAAAGTGTCACATTTATAAACTTAGGCTTCTAGTTTAGCTATATGAAATGAAAAGCTATTTGAAATCATCTACCTATACAATAAAGCACATATTTTACAAATAAATCTTATCTGACTTATGGTCAAACCTTAACGCACTCATATATCAGACAACCTTTCACTTTGTAAAAATAAGAATGATTTTAAATAATAAAGAAAAGTCTTAGAAATTCAACATAAATTGTGGATTTCCCAAAGTACTATGACACTAGGAGATCTTAAAAAATTAAGAAAAAAATCTCTAAAATTGTGTTGCACAAATCAAGACTCACACTATAACTTGGCTCATCAATGACTCAACGCATACAGAAAGAAAAATTAAATAACTAAAAAAAGAATGATTAAACGAAGTTTAATTTCTGAAGTCAGAAAGACTGTAATTCAAATCTCTGCTCACCACTTACTGGGTATGTGAAAAAGAAAAGTCACTTAATTTCTTTGTGCCTAAGAACTATCCCATGCAAAACAGGAATATTTCTATGTTATACAGTGCTATGAAAATTAAGGAACACATGTAAAAGAGCTTATAAAGAAACCTAGCACAAAGATCTATTTCAAATATACTGATAACTAATTTTAAATGGAATTTTATTAATACTGTTAGTAAAGAACATTTGCAAAATAAAGCCACTTTTCTCTATGTAGCAAAGTTTTAAAAAGGCACATCCTTTGGCCAAGTGCTCCACTTAAGAAATGAGGCAATGGAGGAAACATATGATTATATTTACTGTCTTCCTCCCCCCAAACAAAAAGAAATAACTACATGTCCATTATTAATATGGACTGTTGAAGAAAATTATTTATATACATAATACATTATTATGTTAACAAATGTAGGATACAGAAAAATAAAACAACTTGTATGTACCTTCTAGGGCCTCTCTCAATGTTTATACACAATCAAGGGATCAAGACAAGTTTGACAAGAACTATACAGAGATACAAATATAGAATGAAAGAAAGTAAGGGGGAAAATGTGGGTAAAATATGTAGAAAGAGGAAGACAGTTTAGAGAATAGTTTTGGTGACAAGAGGGAAAGATGGCAGACAATCATTCTAAAAGTCTGGAATGTGCTCAGAAGAAAGCACTTGATAACGCTGGGAAGAAGGGTCCTATCAAGCAAGGTGGATAGGTAAAAAATTTAAGAGGAAAAGAGAAGGCAGGGAAAAGTAGGCAGAAAACTGATCATACAAAGCTTTGAATGCTAGATTAAGGCATCAGGCATTTACACATTCGATGAATCATCTTTTCATTCATTCATTCATACATGCATAAATTCCTTTCTTCATGTATGTATGCATATATGTATGCATTCATTCCTTGGGATTGGGGAAACCATCATATGCATACTTCAGAAAGATAATCCAAGGGGTCTTGTGAAAACTTGATCAAAGATGTTTGAGAAAAAGTGAACTATTATCACCATGATTATTATACATTTTAAATTTATTTATTCATTCATTCAATAGGATACCCTAGGGGCTGGGGATGTAGCTTAGTTGGTTGAGTGCTTGCCTAGCATGCACAGGTACCACCATAAAAAAATAAAATAAAATAAAAAATCATTAGGAGGCCCGACAGCATTTTAACAAGCCCTGTTCATAGATGCTATTCCTCCAATAATTACTATACTTGTGTACATAGTAAATAAATAAATAAATATAAAGGATAAAAATTTTTACCAAGTCCTTTTGTCCATTGATACTTGTACAACCATGTAACGATAAATGTTAAGAATGCGTTTACACATATCTGTGTGCTCATCCAGAAGATTTTTTATTTCATTTGCAGGTTCAAGAAGAAATATGTTTGATGAGTTTATAATGAACACCTAAAACAAAAGAAATCATTATCTATTCACAATGGAATTTCAATGGCAAATTTCTTTTCAAAGAGAAAAAACTTAGATGCTGATTACTAGGAGATAACTATAACTTATAGGTACTGTGGGTTAATTCTAACTTCTACTACCAGCTTAGTATCTGAAATTTAAACTCATTAAATTTGCCTATGTTTATGTTTACCTAGGCAGATATATAATTACTAGTAGGCACTCAAAAGAAAATAAAACAAATGCAAAACAAAAAGCATTTTTAAACTGATAGCTTTAATAATAATAACCCTATTCCTCTCGAAAAATGAAAAGAACAATAAAGCTTAGAATAAAAAAGGTCACCAAAATCAGGAAAAAATTTCTGAATGAGTTGTAAATATTTTATCCCTTTTTTCTTATTTTTATGTGTCTATGTCTTTTTAATGAAAACAGACTATGGAAACATTACATATTATAAATATTTCTAATGAGAGGTCATCAATGTGTATCTTTAATTAATTCTAACCAACTCATTAACTATATGTTGTTATAGAGGGAAAAGTTATAATGGTGACAGGTGTGTACAGACACTCTCAAGGATACTTCAGAAGAACAGAACATTGTTATCTATTGCAAATTTAGAATATTTACATCATTTATGTCCACAATTCTGATATAAATCTCCTGGAAACTACATAACAAAATGGAGTTGTAAAATGTAATGAGAGAAGAGACTATTAAGCAAACTTTTAAAATAGTAAAAAGAGCCAATTCTGTAAATCTAGCTATGCTGATCAAGAAAAACAAGAACAAAAAAAAAAAAAATACAAAAAAACATTGGAAATAAAATGAGAGCAGTACTATAGATTCAGGAGAGAGTTTAAAATGACAACTCAGTGCACTGGAGAGTATCATATTAAGTGAAATAAGCCAGATTCAGAAAGTCAAGAGTCATCATGTTCTCTTAATATGAGGAAGCTAGAGAAGAAAAAAGAAAAAAAAAACTTAAAAGACCTCACGAAAATAGAAGGAAGACAAGTAAACTTGAGAGAGGGGATCAGGGGGAAGGGAGTAGGGAAAGGAAAGGGAAGGTACTCGAGAATGAAACTCATCAAATTATGTATATCTACAAATATGTTTCAAAGAATTCCACTATTAGTATAATGCACCAATATTTCTTGTCACATAGCTATACTACATTTTCCATCCTTTCTTGTAATTATGATTGTCCCAATAATGATATAATGTCCATACAAGTGATGCATTTTCTTCACTAGCCGAAACTTTTAAGAAAAGAGCGTTTCCTACGTATTTTCATTCTCTTTTGCCAATTGGTCATACACAATGAGGTCTAACAAATAGAAATCCCCAATATAAGAAAGATAATAAGTGAATAAATTGCTGAAAGTTCCTGAATTACTGAATATGGAAAAACTGCCTGTTAACCAGCAATTTTCTACTGAAGAAAAACAACAACAACTAATGTTTGAGCCACTGTGTACTGTGGCTCTATTCTATACTTTTTTTTAAAAAAAGGGGGAGGACAACTCACAAATAATTTCATGGCAATGAAACTTTAATGAATTAATTTGTAGAATAAGCAATAACTTGCCAAAACTTGCTCAAGAAGAAACAGAAAAGTTGCACATACAAATACCATGAAAAAAACTAAACTGGTAATCCAGGTCTCTCTGATATATCCCTGAATAATAAGCCTACACAATACTACAGGCAAAGCTTCTTCTCTTGCATGAATTCTTTCAGAGACAAACAAAAAGGAAAACCACTCAATTTATTTCATAGAAATATAACCTTATTATCAAAAAACAAACAAGGACTAGATAATTAAATAAAAGGTCAATATTCCTTGTGAACATTTACATGAGAATATTTAAAAAATACTAACAATTCAAACTGGACAAATTATAGTAGTGTTTATTCTAGAATTTTTTTAGCAGAGGGTGGGTATGAGGAATTTAACCCAGAGGCACTTTCCCATTGAGCTTTATCCCAACCCATTTTTATTTTTTATTTTGAGACAAGGTCCCACTAAGTTGCTGAGAGGTCCTTGAACTTGCAATTCTCCTGCCTCAGCCTCCTGAATTGCTGGGATTATAGGCATGTAATCCCATGATTTTATTCCAGAAATTTAAGGATGTCTTAACATAGAAGTACTTATTAGTAAGTATATCCTTACCAATAGATTCAAACAGAAAAAAAACATGATTATCACAATGTATATAGTAAATTCTTATCAATAGATTAAAATAGAAAAAAGCATGATTGTCACAATGTATGTAGAAAAAGCACTCAGCACTTTTTATTTTTCAAAAATTTAACAAACAATGAAAAAGGGAAAATTCAATAATCTGACAAAAGAACACTTATAAAAAAATGTAACAAATGTATACACAGCAAAAGAATGAGAAGAGTACCATCAAAAGCCAAGAATAAGGGGCTGGGTTGTGGCTCAGCGGTAGAGCACTCGCCTAGCACGGGCGAGACTCGGGTTCTATTCTCAGCACCACATAAAAAAAATAAAGGCATTGTATTGTGTCCATCTACACCTAAAAAAATAAATATTTTTTTTTAAAAAAGCTAAGAATAGGAAAACAGGTGCTCACTATCATCTCATTGTCCTGAGATGATAAGCACAAAAGGAAGGAAGGGAAATAGAGAAGGAATATAAATATGAATAAATTGATAAGGAAAAGACAAAGCTAAGCTATGCAGCAGTCTAGAAGAAGAGCATTCCAGTCACAAAGAAATGTAAGTTCAAAGGACTGAACAGTGATTTAGTTTCTAAACTCTTACTCTAGATTTTGCAATTATCCTGTGGGACAGCAACTAGTTTAACTCTTAGGAGTCTTATAGACTTCACAAAGACTTTTGCCCTAATGCTTAGTGGGTAATGGAAAGGTATTGGAAAGTTTGAGCAGAGAAAGAACATGATCTGTCTTACAATTCCTCTGGCTAGGATTCCTCTGGCTACTGTGCTAAGAATAGACCAAGAGGACATGTGGGCAAGAGTAGAAAGAAGCACAGAGACTAGGAGTTAACTGAAATAATACAGATGAAAAATTATGGAGACATAATATGAAGGAGAATGAAGGCTGAGTAGTCAAGATTCTTGTATACACTCTGAAGAAAGAGAATTTGTTGTTAGACATTTATAGTGTGTGTGTGTGTGTGTGTGTGTGTGTGTGTAAAACAAGAAACCCTAGGAAGCAGGAAAACAGAGATATCATTAAATGAAACAAGGAAAACTATAAGAAGAGCAGTCAAGTTTAAAAAGTCTATTAGATATCCAAGAAGATGCCAACTTAGCATTTGAATATTTGAGTTCAGATTTCACAGAGTTCAGATGAAAAGATCCAGACTAGAGATAAAATTTAGAAATGGTAGTATATACATGGCATTTAAAGCCACATGAATGGATTAGACTAACAAGAAAATAAATGGAAAAGAAATTTAAGAATTGAGCTGGGTACAGTGGTCCACATCTATGATACCAGTTACTCCAGACGCTCAGACAGGAGGATTCCAAGTTCAAGACCAGCCTGGGCAACTTATGAGGCCCTGTCTCAAAATAAAAAATGGACTAGGGAGGTAGCTCAGTGGCAGAGTTTATCTACCATCCATGAGACTCTAGGTTCAATTCCCAGTACTGGGGCAAAAAAAATGGGGGTAGGAAGAGTGGTGAAAGATTCAAGAACTGATTCCTGGGCATTTCAACTTGAAATGTCAGGGAAATAGAGAAAAGTCAGTTTAAAAAAAAAAAGGAATCTGATTTGGCCAGTGAAGTAGGAGAAAAACAGGAGAGTATGCTACTCTCAAAGACAACTGAAGAAGCTCAGTGCGGAGGGTACAAGCTACTCTGAAAGATGCTCCTGACAAGTAGGAAAAGGACTGAAAATGTATATTTGATTTAAAAAAGAAGAGAACACATGTGGACTTGACAAGAACAGGTTGATTAAAAAATGAATGGTGCCAGATGTGGTGGTGCACATTTTGTACCTTAGCATTTTGAGAGGGGGAGGCAAGAGGATCTCAAGTTCAAAGCCAACCCTGGCAACTTAGCAAGGCCCTAAGCAACTTAGTGAGATCCTATCTCAAAAAATAAAAAGATGATGTGGCTCAGTGGTTGAGAGTCCCTGGTTTAATCCCTGATACCAAAAACCTCCCAAAACAAACAAACAAAAAAACTGGACTGGTGATTTAACTCAGTAGTACAGTGCTTGCCTAGCAAGTGCAAGGCCAGTACTTGATCCCTATACCAGCACAATAAAACAAAATGAACAAACAAAAACTAGAGTGAATAAAATGAACACTTACTAATACCTAAGAAAAATATAAATGCTAATAAAAAAACTTTGGGAAAAAGCATATGAATAAGAAATTCACACATGAGTAAAGATGCTCAAATTCAGTACTGATGAAGTATTTGAGTTCTCATTTACTCATTGTGAGATTTGAATTCCCTGCTATTCATTTATTTATATATATATTTTATATATATATATACCACTTTTGAAAATTTTACAACTAAAAGTTGGTTCTTTGAAAAAATAAATAAGACTGATAGACCACTAGCCACGCTAACAAAGAGAAGAGACAGAACCCAAATTACTAGCTTACGGGATGAAAAAGGCAACATCACAACAGACAATTCAGAAATACAGAAGATACAGAAGATATTTAGAAATTATTTTGAAACCCTATACTCTAATAAAATAGAAGATAGTGAAGGCATCGATAAATTCCTTAAGACATATGAACTACCCAGATTGAGTCAGGATGATATAAACAACCTAAACAGACCAATATCAAGTGAGGAAATAGAAGAAGCCATCAAAAGACTACCAGCCAAGAAAAGCCCAGGACCGGATGGATATACAGCAGAGTTTTACAAGAACTTTAAAGAAGAACTAATACCAATACTCTACAATCTATTTCAGGAGATAGAAAAAGAGGGAGAACATCCAAATTCATTCTATGAGGCCAATATCACCCTGATT